CTCACCTACAGAGGGGCCTCTGGTGAGGAGTTTCTCCCTCCCCTGGGCCTAGTTGTCCTGAAACACCCTAGCGCAGTGGCCTGCCCCTCCAGACTAGAGGCTGGGTGCTGGAGATACGGGTGAGGGTAGGGGGGCATCCCAGGTGGGATGGGGGTGGGGCACCCTGGGTGGGAAGGTACAAGTGGTGGCTGGTCCCTGCCTGCAGTTCCAGCGGCCTCAAGACCAGTACCCGCCCTTCCGCTTCGGCACCGTGCCCAACGGTAGCACCGAGCGCAACATCCGCAGTAACTACCGCGACATGCACGCCCACATGGTCAGGTTCAACCAGCGCTCCGTGGAGGACGCGCTCACCAGCCTCAAGATGGGGTGGGCCCCGTCCCCTGCCCCCCACCCCCTGCCCTCTGCCTACCATCCTACTCCTGCGTCCCCTCTCCCAGTGACTAGCCTCAGCCCCGTCCCAGAGACCCTGTCGTGGGCCAACCCTGGTGGACGCCTAGGGCTGGGGTAGGAGGGTCCTGAAGGAGGGCAGGCTTTGGGGCAGGGTGGGGCTGGCCCCGCCCCGCCCGGCTCAGGCCTCACCCCGGCCCCGCCCAGGAGCCGGGCTCCGCCTTCCTGCAGCTGGGCGTGTCGCTGGAGCAGCAGCTGCAGGTGCTGTTCAAGGTGCTGGAGGAGTACAACTGGAGCGCCTTCGCCGTCATCACCAGCCAGCACCCCGGCCACGCGCTCTTCCTCGAGGGCGTGCGTGCCATTGCGGACGCCGGCCACCTGGGCTGGCGGCTGCTGGACGTGCTGACGCTGGAGCTGGGCCCGGGCGGGCAGCGCGCGCGCATCCAGCGGCTGCTGCGCCAGCTCGACGCGCCGGTGCTGGTGGCCTACTGCTCGAGCGACGAGGCCCAAGTGCTTTTCGCCGAGGCGGCGCGCGCCGGCCTGGTGGGGCCGGGCCACGTGTGGCTAGTCCCCAACCTGGCGCTGGGCAGCACCGACGCGCCACCCGCCACCTTCCCCGTGGGTCTCATCAGCGTCGTCACCGAGAGCTGGCGCCTCAGCCTGCGCCAGAAGGTCCGCGACGGCGTGGCCATCCTAGCCCTGGGCGCACACAGCTACCGACGCCAGCATGGCACCCTGCCCGCCACCGCCGCTGGGGACTGCCGCGGCCACCCGGGGCCGCTTAGCCCTGCCCGGGAGGCCTTCTACAGGTGGGCACCTGCCCAGGGTGGGGTGGGAGCGCTTCATGGACCCAGAGGGCAGTGAGCTTGGGCCCCGGGAGTCAGACCCCCTGGCAGCTGTGTGTCCTGGGTCAGCTCACCTCCCTCTCTGGTCTGCTTCCTCCTTGACCTTGACAGTGGGCGTGGGGCTTGGTGGGATTACTCGAGGGAAAACCCTCTGCAGTATGAACAGGGTGGTGTTGGTGGTGGGGAGACAGAGCCTAGTGCAGGGCCACTGGCCACCCTGCTTCTCTCCTGCTGACAGGCACCTGCTGAATGTCACCTGGGAGAGCCGGGACTTCTCCTTCAGCCCTGGTGGGTACCTGGTCCAGCCCACCATGGTTGTGATCGCTCTCAACCGGCACCGCCTCTGGGAGATGGTGAGAAGGGGCCCCTGATCCCCAGCCCCTCTCACCCACAGCCAGCCGGGAGCCACTGCGGCCTGCCTTCTGCTAGCTCCCCAGCCTTCAGGTCTCAGCTGAAACTTCTCCTCTGGGAAGCCCTTTTGGCCCCCAGGATGGGTGGGGCTGCTCCCGGCTCCTGTAACTCCCTGCCCCCTTTTACTACAGAACGGGCACCCAACACCTTCATCCCACAGTCCCACTCCCCGGGGAGTAACTCCTGTGGGATGTGCACAATAGAAATCTGGCCGACTGGAGCTGGTGTGGGAATGTGCGCAAAGCACTCTGGGACTAGAAAGGAGCCCACGTGTCCGCCCTCCTGGGCCCTGGGGGCGTGGCATATGGGCTTGCAGTTAGACACAAGGCTGGCAGGTCAAGCCCACAATGGCTCAGCAGGAAGAAGATGGGCCCTCTACTTCCATAAAGATTCTCCAGAACCTTCTTTGATTCGCAGTCAACCATTGACCCCTGTGCCACCAGGGAGCTAAGGCCCAAACCAAACACTGGCATCGAGTCCTTGCCGGCTCACAGTGACCCGAGAGGACAGGGCAGAGCTGCCTGCTGCGGCGGGTTTCCGAGGCTATAGAGGAGAAAGCCTCGTCTTTCTTCGGACTAGTGAGCGGCTAGTGGTTTCAAACTTCTGACCTTGCGGTTAGCAGCTCGCCACATAACCACTATGCCACCAGGGCTCCTCTGAGAAGCCCGTGTAGTCGCTATGAGTCGGAATCAACTGCATGACACCGACTACAAACAAAGGAAGAAGCTAGGGCAGGCTTCCGGAGAGGGGCCAGCAGTGCTGGACTTGCAGGGTTGAGTAGGAGCTCGCCAAGAGGTCGCACCAGCCTGGTGCAGACAGCCTGGTATAAGAGAGGGCCCTTATAGGAGCGATGGTAGGTCCTTGGGGATGTGGAGATGGAGGAAAATGGGGGGGCGTGTCATGTGGAGGAAGTGTGAAACACTGAGGCCTGGATACCTACGATCCCGATCCCGGTAGTTGCAGGTGCGGCAGGTTCAGGTGTGGGCCTTTTCCACCTGCTCCCACCCTGGTCCTGCTGGCAGGCCCTATGCAGCCCTAGGTGAGGGAAGCCCCACCCAGAGGCCCCCCTGGGGGTGGGGCGGGGCTGGAACCCAGGGGCTGAGGCCACTCACCCTCCGCAGGTGGGGCGCTGGGAGCGCGGTGTCCTGCACATGAAGTACCCGGTGTGGCCTCGCTACAGCGCCTCCCTGCAGCCCGTGGTGGACAGCCGGCACCTGACGGTGGCCACACTGGAGGAGCGCCCCTTTGTCATCGTGGAGAGCCCCGACGCGGGCACAGGTGGCTGCGTCCCCAACACTGTGCCCTGCCGAAGACAGAGCAACCGCACCTTCAGGTCCGCACTCAGAGGCCGGGTGCTGCCGTGTGCGTGGGTAGCAGCCGTGGACTCTGGCTTATGCTG